GAGATGCCTCTTTCTCCAAAAGCTGCCAAGAGTTGTTTACAACGTGAGCTCAAGCCAAGCCGTGGGAAGCTGGAAAGAGCTGGAGGCTTCAAGGCTGGCCACCTGCAGCAAGTAGAGATAAGAGCTTCAGAGTTGTGTGGGGACGCCGAGACAAGTCCAGTCTCCATGGCAACTGAGAGAGTTGCATCTACGGAAGCTGTGAAGGTCGTGGGCAAGTCTTCCTGCCGGGGGGAGTCTGTTGCCGTGACAACCAGAGAGGACATCTGCAGAAGCCCCAAGGAGGGGGGTAGTGAGGAGATTGTTGCCCTGGCGACCCAGGAATATCAACAACAAGGTTTTCTCACTGTAATAATCGACAGTGGTGCCTCAAATTCGTTGGTGCCATCTCCTGGTCTTTTGAGGAATTGCAGGACAGTAAAAACTGAGAAATTTGTGACAATTGCAGATGGAAGCAGAAAAAGACTAACAGAGACAGGCCTTTTCTTCTGTCCTTTTCTTAAGCATGAAGTCAAAGCTTATGCAGTGCCCGGTTTAACTAACTGTTTGTTAAGTGTGCATGATCTACTTATTGATGGTTTTCATATTTCTTTTGCAGGTGACAAATGTGAATTCTCCAAGGATGGGAAACACGTGTACACAGTGCAGTCTAAAGATCATTTGTTTGCTGTAAATGTGCCTTTTTCCACAGGAGAGGATGACACCGAAGATGCGAAGGGCCAATGTGTGAATGTAGCGCCCCACCATGGTTGTTCACATATTTGGCACCGACGCTTCGCCCATTTGAATTGGAAATATCTCCAGAAAGCACCAGAGCTGACACAAGGGTGCAAATTTAATGTTTGTGACAAATTTTTAGATTGCAATGCATGTAAACAGGCGAAAATTGTGACATGCTCATATCCAAAGTCAGAGAGGCAGACCACACAACCCTTTGAATTAATTCATGCAGATTTGTGTGGACCCATGTCTGTTGAGTCACTGGGAGGTTCAAGGTATTCTCCGCTTTTGATTGATGATTTTTCGAGGTCTGCTTGGACCTTCTCTCTGAAAACGAAAGGGGAGGCGGCTAAAATGATCAGGGATTGGATCACCGCAGTTGAGGTAACCTTTTCCACCAAAGTTCGTGGTTTTCAAAGTGACAGAGGTGCTGAATTCACTGGTTCTGCTTTACAGGATTTCTTTAAGGAGAAGGGGATTAGCCACAGACTGACCGCTCCTTACTCTCCGCAACAGAATGGGCTGGCAGAGAGAAAGAACAGGACGGTGCAGGAAGCTGTGTCTGCGATCCTGTGGGACGCAGGGCTACCCCAGAAATATTGGTCTGAAGCTTCGAGATTTGTGGTCCATACGCAGAACAGAGTGTACAACTCTAGTGTAGGAAATACACCGTATTTCTTACTGCATGGAAAGAAGCCTAAGGTACACTACCTTCGTGTGTTTGGTTGTGAGGCTTGGGTGCTTATTCCAAAGGCTCTACGCAAGAAAGGTGAGCCAAGATCTAAAAGAATGATCTTTGTAGGGTATGAGCCTGGCTCAAAGGCCTGGCGGTTTGCGTACCCAAGTGGAGACCAGTCTAGGTTGGTTATCAGCAATAGCGCTGAGTTCTGTGAGCAAGCCGGTTGGAAACGTCTGCACGCTAATCCAGACGTGATTCCACAGCAGTTCAATGACTCAGACGTTGAGGAAGAAGAGGAACTTGGTGCTGGGGACCACAGTCCAGAGCCACAGAGTCCAAGGCAGGGACAGCTCAGGAGCCCTCAGAGGGGGGGAACCTAGAACACCTCCTCAAGCAAGTGTCAAGTTTGGGCCAAAGAGTGAGCCTTCCTCACCTGCTGGACCAGCTGTAAGGCCCAAGAGGCGGGAAGACACTGAAGTTGAGGATGATTTAGCTGGACCCAGTGAAGCAGCAGGGTCACCAGGATTCACACTGAGAAGATCAGCGAGGACAAGGAGGCCTCCTGATTGGTACGACGCTTCAGGCGTCTGGGTAGGTTCTGCAAGATGTGAACCTGAATCCTTCGAGGATATTCAGAGTTTATCTGAGGAAGAAGCAGGCAAGTAACACAAGGCAATGGACAAAGAGATGAAGTCCATGAAAGATCTAGGTGTGTTCTCACTCACAGAGTTGCCACCGGGCAAGCAGGCTGTGAGTTGCAGGTGGGTTTACCGCTTGAAACCCACGGACGCTGGAGAGCCGCAGTATAAAGCCAGGTTAGTTGCTCGAGGATTTACTCAGAGGAAGGGAATACACTTCACGGAGGTGTATTCGCCAACGTCACGAGCGGAGACTCTGAGAACGCTTTTAGCTTGTGCAGCACAGAGAGGCTGGAAAGTAAACCACTTTGATGTGGATGTTGCCTACCTTAACTCAGATCTCCAGGAGGAGCTGTACATGATTCCTCCTCCGGGGTTTGAGAACTTAAGGCAGGATGTTGTGTGGAGATTGCACAAATCTATCTATGGATTACGTCAACCTGCTAGAAACTGGAACATGTGCCTGAATGAAGCCTTAGAAGAGCTAGGTTTCAGGAGAAGTGTTGCTGATAGTTGCTTTTATTTGAGAGGTTCAGGGGCAACACAAGAGTATTTGCTGATTTGGGTTGATGACGTGTTGTTTTTCTCAGAAACAGATGAACAGGTGGAGAAGTTTGCCAAAGAGCTAGGTAAACGGTTCAAGCTTAAACAGCTTGGTGCTGTCAAAACCTATTTAGGTGTCAATGTTGAGCGTGCACAAGATGGAAGTTTTGTGCTCAGCCAGAGAGGTAAAATTGAGCAACTGCTTCAGAAAATGAGGATGAGTGACTGTGCAGGAGTGAGAAGTCCTATGGAGACTAGTTTTGTGAAGGACAGCCAGCAAGCAGAACGCGCTGTGTTCAAAAATACTGAAGTGTTTCAGTCAGTCCTAGGGAGTTTGTTGTACTTCTCCCAGTGGAGCAGACCTCATATACCGTTTGCTGTCAATCTGCTCAGCAGGGAAGCATCAAACCCTAGTGTGCAAGCCTGGAATGGCATCAAGAGAGTTCTGAGGTATTTGCAGGAGACCAAAGACTTTTGTCTTAGGTTGCCAGCACAAGGAGAAGTCAAACTGACTTGCTTTGTGGACTCGGATTGGGCTAATCTTGAGGATCGCAAGTCTGTGTCTGGCCTAGTGGTGAAGTTTGGGAACTCAGTAGTTGGATGGAGGTCCAAGAAGCAAAGTCTTATAGCGCTCTCCTCCACTGAGGCTGAGTTTAGTGCTCTTTCAGAGGTGTGCAGAGAAGTAGAGTTCTATGCTTGCTTGGTGCAGGAACTCTGCGAAGTGGATTGTCAGCTAATACGTGTTTTCGAGGACAATCAACCATGCCTGCGTTTGGCAGAGTCAGGTCAGTTCAAGGCCAGAACTAAACACCTAGACATTCGCTTTCGGAATGTGTGCCAGAGTGTTCAAGAGAGATTAGTTGCGCTGAAGTATTGTCCCTCTGCCAAGAACCTAGCTGATGGGTTCACGAAGCCACTCACCTTCCAAAGACATGAGGAGTTTTGCGAAGGTCACGGTTTGGGACGACCAAGGGTCGATTCTCCCCTCAGGCGCGAGACAAGAGGGGGTGTTGGGTGTAGTGAAGGGTTAACCTTCTGTGTCTCGAGGCTGAGGGGAGGCGCTTACAAGGGAAGTAAGCTAGGATGTGACAAAAGCAGCTTGGAATGCTGTGAGCTGAGTGAAAAGTGAAAGCAGTTTTGTTGCGTAGCTGCAAACAGAGGGAGAAGATGCAGCTTAATTCAGATGGAAGTTCTTGATTGTAAATATGCTACTTTTGAGCAAATAAAGAGATATTAGGACAGAAGAAACGTGTGGGACTTAGTTTACTGCTCTTTCAAACACACGACCGCTGTGCAACTTTGCTATCTGCTAATTGCTTTAAGACCTGCAGAGGCTCGCAGGGGGAAGCGTGCTGGATGCCGAACAATAAAGCAATAAATCTACCTAACATGTTTTCTAATGACAACGTGTCAGCCAGCTTGAAATAATATTGTATTTGTTATGTACTGAAGTTCTCACCCTGGGCCAGCAGGGGGATACTGTAGATAGTTATGCAAATGAAGGATCGAAAGTGACGTTCTGTGATTGGATAGTTTTAGAAAGTTGCTACAGTTACGTTGTTCTGGAGCTCTATATAAGCAGGCTGACTGAGCTCTTCAGCTCAGTTCTGTTCTGGCCTCTGAATAATCAAGAGCGGTTTGAAGATTCGCTGTGTCGTCTGATATGTTCGCCCACAACTTAACACTGGCGACGAGGATGGGATCGATGGACATCAGAGCACAGCCAGATGCGGCCACCTCTGAACTGAGCTGAATCACTGAGCGAAATCACTGAACAGAACCAATTCAGAGCTGACTGTTCTGGCTAGAGCACTGTGTTCCATCCATCGCCCTTCACGCCGGCATCGGAATCATGGCTTCACTTGTGCCTCTACCGCCATTTGCGCCAACCTCTGAATCATGGGACTCCTACCTCGCTTGGTTCGACTGCTACCTCCAAGCCAACAAGCTGACAGAAGTATCAAAGGAATGGAAGCGGGGCCTATTCCTCAGCCTCTGAGGGCCTGAGATGTTTGAGACGGCCCGAGCGTTGGTTGCGCCTGAAGCAGTACAGGCAACAACATGGGGCACGATTCAAGAGAAGCTCCGCAACCACTACGCGCCAAAGCCGTCAAAGATTGCTGCCCGCCAAGCATTCTACCACCGGAACCAGTCAGAGGGGGAGTTAATTAACAACTACACTGCCGCCCTCCGACAAGCTGCAATGCACTGCGAGTTCCGAGACTTAGACGATGCCCTGATGGATCAAATCGTCTGTGGGGTCTGGGACATCCGTCTGCAATGGCGTCTCCTCGCCAAGCCAGACCTCACCCTACAGGAAGCCATTGAGGAGGCCGTGGCCTCGGAAGCTGCCAAACGCTCCGCCCAGGAGATCCGCAAAGCCAGCAGCCTGCGTCTTGCTAGGAAGCCAGTTCCAGTGCATCATGAAGAGGCCAGCAGTGATGAGGCATCCTCCAGTGAAGACGATGACGTGCACCAGACAAAGCGGGAGTGCAGGACGTTCCAAAAGAAGTCCAAGGGCCAATCGGAATGTGCCGGCTGCGGAGGCAACCATTCCCGTGACGAGTGTCGATTCAGAGATGCCCTCTGTTGGAAGTGTTCCAGAAGGGGCCACATTGCTAAGGTCTGCCGATCGGCTCCATCTGACACCCCCCCACACACCGACTCGCAAGTCCAAGTCTTCACTCCAGTCCACCAAGGAAAGCTGTTTCGCTCTCACCAACTGCCGTTGCCCGTCTGGAACCACGATTATCCAAACTGACTCGCCTACGTGACGCAAGCTGGACGTCACGGTGCTCATTGAAGGACTCCATGTGACATGGAGATCGACAACGGGTCTGCCCGGTCCATTGTGTCTTGGAGCACCATCAAAAGACTGGTACCCAGAGTGTTCAAAAGGCAACTCGACTCTCACTGTGTACACCTGAGAGACTACCAGGGAAACGGCATTCCCGTGGTAGGCGTTGGCCAGTTCCGGATCGCCTTCAAGGATTTTTCAGGCCTGCTCCGACTGGTGGTGGTCGAAGGCCAAGCCTCCTAGGGTTTGATGCCCTCGGCCTGGAAGTCACCGGCATCAACTGCATCTCTAACACAGAGAATGAGGGTCTGTTCAAAGACTTTGCCAAGGGTTTTGATGGCACTTTGGGGCAATATACAGGTACACCCATCTCCTTTAGCCTTGATCCACAAGTCGCCCCCATGAAGCTAAAGCTACGTTGGGTTCCCTTTGCTCTCAAGGCTAAGGTGGACGAACAACTGGACAAGCTGATCGCCCAAGGAGTTTTGGAGCCGGTTGACCATGCCAAGTGGGAAACCCCCATCGTCACGCCTGTCAAGCCAGATGGGTCGGTGAGAATCTGCGCTGACTACAAGTGCACAATCAACAAGGCACTTCAGCAGCATGCTTATCTGGTTCTTGTTGTCCAACACCTGCTGCATTCCCAGGGTGAGGGTAAGGTCTTCGCTAAGCTGGACCATGCCCAAGCCTATCAACAACTGCCTATCGATGATGCCACTGCTGAAGCCCAGATGATCGTCACCCACCGAGGGGCATTCCGTTGCCGCCAGTTGCAGTTCAGGGTGAGTGTGGCTCCTGGCATCTTCCAAAGCCTTATGGAGCGTCTCCTGCAAGGGCTTCCAGGCATGGTACCATATTTTGATGACATCTTGGTGTCTGCAGACTCAGACCAGCAGCTGTTCGAGCGCCACCATGCCGTGCTGACCAGGTTCCAGGAGGCCGGGCTCAAGGTAAAGAGGGAGAAGTGCCAGATCGCCATTCCACAGGTGGAGTTCCTGGATTATCTTATCGACGCCTCCGACCTTCACCCGACCACATCCAAGATCCGCGCTATCCAGCAGGCCCCCACCCCAAAGAACAAGATGGATTTGCAGGCGTTCCTGGGACTGCTGAACTTTTATAACATGTTCCTGCCCCACAAAGCCACGGTGGCTGAGCCTCTTCACCGACTCCTCAGCACAAAGACACCTTGGTCCTGGGGTCATCAGGAGACGGTGGTCTTCAACGCGGTCAAGGCCCTCCTTTCATCGGACAGTGTGCTGGTACAGTACAGTGAAGCGAGGCCACTGGTCCTTGCCTGCATCGCCTCACCTTTTGGCATTGTCACTCTCCTTTGTCATCGTTTTCCAGACGGAAGAGAAGCACCGCTCGCCTACTTTTCCAGGACGCTATCTCTGACTGAACGGAATTACAGCCAGCTCAACAAGGAGGCACTGGCACTTGTGGCTGGAGTGAAGAGGTTCCATGAATACCTCTACGGCAGGACTTTTGACGTCATCCCTGACCACAAGCCACTCCTGGGCCTCCTCGCCGGTAATTGTCCAACTCCACCGGTCCTCTCGCCGCGCATGCTGTGATGGACTGTTTTCTTGGCTGCCTACCACTACCGGCTCATCCATCGCCCGGGGAAATCGATGGGCCATGCCGACGCCCTCAGCCATTGCCCTCTTCCAGCGTTTGTGGAAGACCTGGCTCCTGCTTCATCGCTCCTCCTGATTGAGGATCTTCCAGCAGCGCCTGTATCGGCTGCCTCTGTGGCCTCCGCATCTGCCCAGGATCACACCATCAGCCATGTGCTCAACTGGGTGTGGAGTGGGTGGCCACAAGGGCCTTTTGCATCGGAGTTCCTGCCGTTCGCAACCAGACAACATGAACTCTCAGCTCATCGTGGCTGTCTGCTGTGGGGAGACCGCGCTGTGATTCCCCAAAGACTCCATCAACGTGTCCTGGAGGCTCTGCTCGTTGGTGACCCAGGAATTGTCAAAATGAAGGCGTTGGCTCGGTGTTACGTCTGGTGGCCTAACATGGATGATGCCATCACTGCCTGGGTTTCCGTCTGTCAAGCGTGCCAAGAATCTAGGCCTGCGCCACCGGCAGCTAAGGGACACACCTGGAAGACGCCCAAGACACCCTGGTCGAGGGTGCACATCGATCTGGCCGGCCCCTTTCTTTCTTTCTTTTTTTAATGAAATTTATTGAGAATTTTAAAATTACAAAAAAACAAAGAGAAAAAGAAGGAAAAAACAAGGAAAGAACAAATAGCAATTAAAGAATACAAATCGATAAAAGTCAAAGTCAAAAAACAAAAACAAAACACATAACACATCAAAATCAAAAATCAAAAATAAGCCAAAAAAAAAAAATTAATAACAGATCCAGTATTCCCAAATCCTTAACTGTCATTACCTTATTTCATCGACCTCCTCACACCTCCCTTTTTTGTATTCTAGTTGTTGATTACCACAGCAAATCCTTTCCATTTTTCATAATATTCTGTCATTAAATTACCTTAATCTATTTTAACCTTATCTTACCATTAAAAACCCTAAAACTTAAAACTTAAATCTTATTTATACCAATTTCCCATAACCATCGCATATTCTTACATAATTCTTTTTAACATTTCTGATAAAGCCAAATAATTTCGTTCCAACATTTTTCTAATACTCATTAATTTTACAAAACATTCCTAAGTAAAATTTTTAAAACTTTCTTCCAATATTCATCCAACATCTCTTCCTCCTGGTCCCAGGTTTGTCAGTCCTTTCTATCCCATCCATCTAGTTCATTAACCTGGTAACCTTATGTCCGAGGCCCTTAAGTCTCTTCCATGTCCCTTCCGCAGATCTTCTTCATATTTATACCTGTACTTTACTTTGTCTTCTGCTCCTTTCACTCGTGGAGACTCCAGCTTGACAATATTTTTGTCCCTTCTCGACAGAACAGCCCCTTTTCCATAGTCAACACTGAACTCCATGTGGTATTTAAAAGCATGTTTCAAAGTCCCTCCAAAGTTGAGGACCCCCACAACTCCAAACTCCTCCCGGCCCAAAGCCAGACTTGAAAAGTCAAAACATCCCTGCATAGGGGGGTCTATCCAGCCCCCCATCTCCAAGCCAAGCAAGACCCTATCTCTCCAAATCTGGCTTTTTCCAGGTTCATTCGTCAGATCCAACAACTCATGTTCCTGCTGGGCCACAGTTCCCTCCATCTCTGCCTCCCGAGGTCCAGCCACAACCTTTTCCCTCATCTGATCTGTCAGAGTACACTCCTGGATTAATTCCTGAGTGGTTTCTATATAGATACCCCCTACCTGTCCAAAATTTCCGATCGCAACAGTCATCAAATCCGTTTTCTCATGTAACTGTTCCAATAAAGCACTTGTCTTACAGAAAGCACGCACCAGAGCCTCCGAGTACATTCTTGTGCAAGGTCAAAGTCTGATCCCACGATCTTAATCTATTGCAGCTGCAAAGCTCCCCAGTTCAGATTTAATAACAGTTTCACAAGCTCCTCTCGGGGAAAAGCTTCTATTTGTATCCATCTCTCTCTTTTTTTTATAGCAGATCTAACAACAAAGTTTCCTTTTTCAGATATTTAGTCAATATTTTGTTCCTTTTAGATGCGAAGGGGAACAATGGAGTCACTATGTTTCTCTTCTTTTAACTGTCTGTCAAAAACGTTTGTCTATAGTCAATGAACTTCCCGAGGACGTCTGTCCTGACACCCCGCTCCCAGGTTCAAGACGGTGGAAAATTACTTTCCTTTACACTCTCTTCTGCAGATTTAAACAGTCCAGGAAAAAAAAACCTCTTCTCCTGCTTCCAAGGGGGGTTCAGTAATTTTAGATGATGAAAATTGTTCCTTTACAGATGATTTTCTAAACTCTAGCTTGCCGTGTCTTTGCTTTAATCTATCTACAAAAAGCGGAAGGCTGACTTCCTGTTTAGACCTTCCCGCTTCAGTGCCAAATTAGAAGAAATTTCTTAATCCAATTTTCCGTTCTACTCACGGGTCGTTGTTTAGAGTCCAATTGTCTCCTTTATTTCCAAATTTAACCTACTCATGGGTAGTTGTTTTTGTAGCCAGATTGTCACAGGAAAAAGGCAGCGCTCTCCGGTAACGGCTGTGCGGCTTCGCTCCACGGAAGAAGCAGTTGACTCTCAGCACCGTGCCGCTTGCCCCGCTTCACTCCGGAGCCCGTAATTGGGTTCCTTTACAAATTGGGGGGGTGCGAAAGGTGCCCGCCGAGTCCCACGGTCACAGGCTTCACCCGCCTGTGGTTTTTTAAAGGGTCCCCGCTTCGCCGTAGCGGAACAGACCCGATTTCCGTAGAGCCAGTCCCTCTGGATCAGAGGGAGTCCGCCATTACCGATGGCGTCACCCCGGAAGACTGGCCGGCCCCTTTCACGGCCGGACCTTTATGGTAGTGGTGGACGCCTATTCCAAATGGCTGGAGTTGGCCCTGATGTCCTCCACCACTACCGAGGCCGTCATCCGTGTGCTGCAAGGCCTCTTTGCGACACATGGGTGTCCTGATGGCCTTGTCTCCGACAACGGACCACAGTTCACGTCAGGCACTTTTGAGCGGTATCTTTTGGGACTGGGCATCTGCCATGCCCTAACGGCACCATTTCATCCATCCAGCAACGGGCAAGCAGAGAGAATGGTGCGCTCGGCAAAAGAGGCACCGGTGTGCCTGGACCGGGGAGACTGGCACGAGCGGGTCACCGAATACTTGTTCGTACTACACATCACCCCTCATGCAGCCACAGGGCGGAGTCCTGCCGAACTGCTTATGGGCCGCTGCCTCAGGTCCCCGCTCGCCCGGCTGCACCCGGACTTTGCCGTGGCCGAACCCCCAGGCTGTGCCAACGCGCCACGGTCATTTGTTCCAGGAAACCAGGTCTTTGCCCGGAACTTTGTGGGGGACATTCCTTGGGTGCCAGCCACAGTAGTGGGAGTCACTGGACCTCGTTCGTACCAGGTGGCTCTCGAAGACGGACCCTTGTGGCCACGGCACATAGACCAGCTTAGGCGCAGGGTTGGGGACTTGGACACTACCGTGGTGCCCCCAACTGCGCTTGTGGCTCTGGAACAGACACTTACAGATGGTGAGGCTCCACCTACTCCTCTCTCGCAAACTGCTGGCGTGGAGCCGAACCAAGCCACTTCAGAGGGTCTGCCAGACTTACCACAGACTCAGAGCACTGCCGTGCCTGACATTCCTCCAACTCCACTTG